CGCATTTGTCATATTCCAGTTCAACATTCTAAAACAAAACATATTGCACATCGATATCATTTCATCAAAGATCATGTTGAGGATGGAAAATAGAAGTTCATTTTGTTAAAACCACAGATCAATTGGCAAATATTTTCACTAAATCACTTGATAAAAAATATTTTCTGAGAATCTTAAATGGATTGGGAATGATGGAAGGTTGTTATGTTCCAACCTCTAACTAATTTTTATGTTTTATGATAATCAAATGTTTGTTGTAACATCCCAAAAATGATAACAAATTTAAACTTTTCAAAACAACCCATTCACTAAAAGAAGTGTTTACAAAAGCATTGTTTACAAAACATTATTTAAAATCAGAGTCTCCAAAGAGTCCAATCAGTCAGAAAACCAATGATGTGTACGGTCACGCCTTCGCCTTGCCATAATCATCTGAAGTACCTGAAACAATAAACTAAAACTCGAAGCACGAAGCTTAGTGAGTTCCCCCAGAGTACCACCACACAAACATATAACATATACAATCAAGCATGTCGGGTCCAATCAACCATCAGGTTGGAATACCCCATGCCCAATCAACCTCCGGGTCCAGTCATCCTCGGGATGGAATACCCCAGGTTGGAATTACAATATACAACGGGTCCAGTCATCCTCAGGATGGAATACCCTCGGGCCCAGTCAACCATTGGGTTGGAATGCCCTCGGTCTATTGGCTCACACACATAGCAGTAAAGCCTCAACCACCAACCAAAATATGTGTGCGTATAACAGATAAATATATAACCAGCCAATAAACTATCAGATAGATCTACAGATCACTACTACATCCTCACGTCATATATATCAAGACTCAGATCTAACAGATCACTACATCATAACGACATTCTATCACAGAGCAGGATATTAAATCGAATGGGCCGACCTTGGTGCCTTCGACCCATAAGTATAGTAAGGAAACTACCTCTCGATCTGATCAACAACCGATGTGGTCCCGACTCTGAATCTCAGCTCTAACTGTCACCTATCCATCCAAATGACCAATTCTCAAACACCATTCACAATACCCAAAATACCCCTTAGTCAAACTTGGTTAAAGTCAAAGTCAACGAGTCAACACAGCCGAGTTAACTCTGGCCTCATACGCGGGGCGTACTCAAATCTTGATCGCAGATGGGACAGTTGACCACGTACGCGTAGTGTACTCAGGTTACGCATGGCGTATGCCCACACTTCTCAAAACTTCATTAACTGTTTAATGCCTAAATCTCTTACGCCCAACTTTCATATCCAAGGCTAAATCATCCTCAAGAGTCATAAAGTTTCCAACTTTATGACTTTGCATGTCCGTTAAGAGCTTAACTCAACATCTTAATACATTAGGACCTTCTAAAGAGTGCATGTAGCAAAACAACCATTAAGACCTCATTTTCATGACTCAAGACCCTTCCTAAGGTCTGAAAGGACGGATTAATGGGTCAAGAACATGCCATGCTCAAGATTCACCATTTTGGGACCAAAAAGTGTCTTAAAAGAAAAAAGTCAAGATCTACAATATGGATTGGTAAACTTGCAAGCTTTATACCTCCTGGAGGTTGCTAATAAGAAGGAAATCCTAGATCCAAAGTGCTCTCAAGCTCCATGTTCTTCTCACCAACTTCTTCTTCATTCAAGAACACTTCTAAAAACTCTAAAGGCTCCAAAATGCTCCCTTTCTATTAGGTTTTGCTTGGGGGGGGGGGGTTCTATTTCATAGAAGGAGGCTGAATAAGAATGAGATGTGAGGCTATAATGAGGTTTAAATATGAGCAAAACCCTAAAAATTAGGGTTTGCATGATCCTCGTGTATGCCCAACATACGAGGTGTATGCCCAACGTACTAAGGCGTGCCCTAGTATGCTTAGCGTACACACGTACGCTCAGCGTACTCCCAAGAGCCCGAAACGACCAAAAATCCACTATGTGCCATTTTTCACTCTTTCTTTTACTTAGGGACCAATATGCAATAAATCTCAATATAAGGGTCAACAATGAGAGTGACTCAAAACAAGATGTTACATTTGTTCTAGACTTCGTTGTTGATGACACTTCGTTTAGAGGCTACTATTCATGTTAAGAGCTGACATTTGCTCTGAATCATTTAACTAGTGTTTCTAATAAGCGAAGGTGTAACGAAGGTCTCATTGAGGTTCTAGCGAAGGTCTCACTGAGGATCTAGCGAAGGAGATGTGAGGTCTACTTGTGTTTTTTAGTAACTGAGTAACGAAGGTCAAATCAAGGATTTTGCAAAGTATTAGCAAAGATATTCTTTAAATTTTTCTTTATTTTTATTGTGCTGAAAAATTCAAAAATACAAAAAGATTTTCTTTATTTTTGTCTTTTATTTCAAAAATTCAAAAATCCCAAAATATTTTATTCATTATATATATATATATATATATATATATATATATATATATATATATATATATATATATATATATATATATATATATATATATAGTATCTTGTTAGATATTTGATTGTAACACATGTTGTACATAAGCATGCACAAGTGAAGCTCAACATGGAGAAGGTAACATTCGATACTCATTGACTAGTTAAGTGTCCATAGAAGCATGTTGAAACATGTTGTCCAACGACTCACAGACTTATTTTTTTGCGAAGCCTTAATGAAAATTTTATTATAAAAAATTCTTCCCAATAGGCTGTATTAAAAATAGCCCTCGAGGTACCTTTCTCTTCTAAAATTTGAGTTAAGAGATGACTGCATGGTCATATTTTTCATAGAGGTACAATGAATTATTTTATCCTATATTTTCATCCAAAATTTGTTAAACTTGCACACACCATGATGCATATCCCAAGATATCTCTAGTAAAAAACAACTAGGATGTAGGTGTGCCTAAAATCTATGTTTATGATCTCAAATCTTTTTCCATGATGCGAGTAAGAACCAAGAAACCTCATACCTTAAGGAATTGACAGTAAACAATTTATTGTTCAAGAATTTACAAGGAACTGACGAATAAAAGTTCATGTTTCAATGTACCTTTTCAAATGTTCAAAATCTCACTTTCGTTTATTATGTGTGATCTTAATGAAATGTACTAATCCCAAGTCATTTCTTCCCAAATAGATCCAGTTCTTTAATTTTTTTATGAAATGAGATTTCCATCTAAACATTTACTTTGATCTTTAGTCACCTAAATTTTTCTAAAGCTTACTTGTTGTTGATTACACTGATCACATAAGTATTTCCATACAGTGTTTTGCTCTTATGTTACGTTGCGAACTTGTTTGAAAATCAAACCTACCTTCAATACTTGTTAAAAGAGGCCCTTCGATACTTCTTTATAAGTAATCGATAGTAATTCACGGGAAACCACACAAGCACTTCGATTTCTCTTTTGATATCGAATGGAGAGTATCTTTTCTTGGGATCTTACTTCCTTTATATCGAAGTTTTTATTAATATCACACTTTATCCAATTTTTTTCTTATTTGGATTCTGTCTTTTCTTTTGGAAAACATTTGCACTGAAATCCTTGAGGTTTGTGTATTACCAACCCATATCAAGATTTCGCAAAGTCTGGCTTATGATTTCATTTACAATTACCATAAGCGAATGAGACTCAACCTTAACTATTAAAGTCTGGTCCTTGGAAACTGTCAAAGCTTGGTGACTGTTTGATATTATTGATAATATTGGGGTGACCGTTGAGAAGTGATGTTACTGTTACTTTATATTGGATCGAGAAAAACACTCATTACACGTATCCGATGACGATATCGATGGTGTCGCTTCAGTTACCTACTTTACACGTGGTAATTAATAATTAGGTCTTGGTCTGAATTTAAATTTCACACCAGTTATAAAAGACGATATGGTCGTTAAATTCAATCTTTATGATTTCCTGAATTTGCGCAAGAACCCTAACCCTAATTTCTGATCATAATCCAAATTCTCTTCTCGATCAACACATCTATGGCCAATGCTGTTGTCGATCACTTCAAGACAACTGAAGATGAAGTTTCTATGCCTAATATGAAGATTCATTCCAACAACGTCTGTTTTAATTCGGCGATAGAAGCATATCCTGAAGAATTGTAGATGCTTGTTTAGTGTTTAAATGATTCTATCCTTACTTATGCTTTGATGGCTTCTTTTTCCATTCCGATAAATTGGCTATCACTCCCCGGTTCTACAGCTATATACAACAAGACAATATAAATTGTAATGTTTCAGATGGAATTGAAAGACAACAAAAGACATAATTAGAAACAGTTTTCCCAAATTCTTCACTTGCCTTATTAGGGTTCGTTTGAAGTTCCTTTGACTAAACAGGTACTTCAAATGATTAATGAAATGGGATATCAACCTCCGATTTCTCTTGTTAGTAGCTTTAAGAAGTCAAATCTTCCAAGCATATGGAGTTTTTTCTTTGGAGGTACCCTTCGCTGTTTAACTGGAAGGAGTTATGGTCTGGACAAGCCAAAACTTTATTTCTATTATGTTATAACTGGTCTATATTATGGGATGCAAGTTGATTATGCTTCGTTATTATGGGATGAGTTTACCACATTGATCAAACACTCGAAGAAGACAACTGAGATATCCAGTGCTTGTTTTTGGAGTCTCATTTTGCATGAAGAATATAGTCAAAGCAGGAATTCTGGTCCCTAATGATGTTGAGGTTGCTCAATTCTCAAATCTCAACATTCCTAAAGTAGCTATTGATGAACCTATGATATTTCTAGTTGTTGGAAGGATTCCTTATGCAATGCTCCAACTGGTGGCTAATTCGAATCGGTTATTGATTCAATACAAATCTTCAATCAATCTTTCATCTAGTTCTGTTACAAAGAAATTTACATTTAAGGTGATAGAGGGAACATCTATAGATTCTAAAATTGTGAATAGGAAGTCCACATCAAAGCCAAAAATAGTTGTTGATAAAGATGTTTTTGAAAAGAGTGTTTCTGAGAAGGTGATATAGAATATGGTTCCTAAGAAAGTTATCGTGAAATTAAAGAAGTTGAAGTCCAAGTCCAAGTCTTCAGGAGTTGTTATAATAGAACCTACTGATGAGGAGGCACAACAAAACAATAAGCGTAAAGATGATGGATTATTCAAACCTTTTAAGAAGTTCAGAGCTCAGACTGTCGAAGAGCTTTCAACTACAAATAAGGTTGTAAAGGCAGACAAAGATAGTAAAGAAACAAACGATAAAGTTCGTGAACCTGTCTAGTTAACTGGAAATGTTTCACCACGAAAGGATGTCACTGTTGAATCGAATACCGATGAGACAAGTAATCCTTATGTCACTGTACAAGTATCTAATGTCGATACAAACATCGATTCTTGTGAACCAATCTCTACTTCGCTTCATGGGATGACTAATGTTACTCCGCCTGAAGGTTCTATTTCCAAGTCCAATATGGAAAAGGGTAGATCTTCGAACATGATTGAAAACTTATCTAATAAGGACTCAAATGTTACTATTGGTGAGGAGACTTCAACATCTACTTCATACACTTCAAATATTCCACCACCCCACCCTCATCTCCACTACCAACTTCAACTATCATACCAACAACAGTTCTAGTTGTTTATCCTATATTTACAGGTATCATCAATGTGCCTATTGCTTCTTTATTCTTTTCTCAATCGATAGCTCAAGAGATGCCAAGTAATGAAGAAGATGAAATGATTGAATTTGATGAGCTAGAGTTTGATCCTAAAGAAGATAATATTGATGACAATGTTATCATGTCAGACAAGCAGTATAAAATGTTAAATTCCAAACCCAACACTATTCTTCAGTTTTTGCATGATAATATTGGGAAGTCGTCTGTGAATGGTGAAGAGGTTGAGTTTTTATTAAAGTCTCAAGATTTGAGGATGAGGACTTTGATAAACAATGTTGTTATGAGTTTAAAAGAACGTCTTGCTACTCATTCTAGTTCTTTCAATCATGAAGTCATAGAATTGCAGAATGTTTGTAACACCTGTGTTTCCTGCTAAGCTTAGTAATCAAAATTTGTAATCTTGTCAGTTAACTATGGCGAATTTTTGAGAATAAATAAAAGTAAATTAATTAAATACATATATGTTTGTGTGAATTTTATAGATATTAGGTGTATATGTTATCTGTGTGAAATTCTACGTCAAAACGTAATAAATAAGGCTAAAATATAAATTAAAAATAAAAGATTATTTTAGATAAAGATATAAACAAAATTCGTAGTAATCGGAAAACCGAACTCGTGTATATAAAGAATGCCCAAATCTGACTTCGTATGAAGAAGTTACGACTTTTCAAAGTTTTAGACGCAATTCAGTACAATAGTGTACAACACAGAAACCGAAATGGAAATCGGTCGATTTTTAGGAAAAACAATCTAAACAAGAGTGGAAGATCTCATCAATACCTATCTGTCGATATAAAGACAGTCGAGAACGGATATCATATGAAAAAGTTATGAATTTTATACGGACTTTAGCAGGCTAGGCCTACTAAAAATAAATAATAAAAATAAAGTGAGAATTAGCCGACAGATTCTGAAGGAAAGTTGTAGATCACGTCCATGTCTACACGTAGATATAAAAGTCGTCAAAAATGGATCTCTCACGGAAAAGATATGATTTTTAAAAAAAATAAGAATTCTCCATGCGCAGCCGTGCGCACTGATTGGTTGCACGATGCGCTTTTGACCTTCCACAAGAAGGTGACACGTGTCACCTTACATAAGTTGCCACGTCACCCGGCCGACCACATACGCGGCGCGCTTTCACTTTTTACCTCTATATATAGTTTTTTGACTTTCATTCGTTTTTCTTCATACCTTCCTCTGAAATCTCTGTATAAATCTCTCGAAACCCTTAGCCCTTTACTCCTGAGTTCCCGACCCATTCGGCGAAGCCTTGCGGTGTCAGATAGCCGATGAATAGAAGCTCATAAGTCAGAGTTCTACCCGCATAATCCCCAGTTTCCGCTAGATTACTCTGTAAGTTAAGCTACATTTATTTTATTTAAGTGTAACTTTAAATTGTAGTCATAGTCATTATTATGAACCTATAAGTAAGATTTATCAGACATTCCAAAGTCATTATACATATTGATCTACTTACGGAAGTGATGTATAACATTGATTTAGTCAGGTGTTTAATGTGGAATTTCCAAACAATATACTCTGTATACCAAACGGACCCTACCACCGATATGATCCTACCTAGTTATTCCTTACTTGATAGATCTTGATGTAGACATTGGGATTATTGAGGAATCTAGACTATCATTATATAGTCACAAGGATTATGAGACTAGACTAAGAATTAGCGTTATGTACATCTAGGTCTATTAGAAAAGTGGGTAAGGCGAAGCGCTGCCCTAACCTCGAGTCACCTACTTTTGTCGAGTGGGTACGTAGTTAGTTTCAAGAGTATAACTTAATAAAAGTAATTATTAAAATGCTAAATCTATTAATTATACTATTTTCTATTTTTATAACTATACTAGCATTGCTTATAAGGAATTATGTTCCATTGCATTTAAATATAGTATGGGATAATTGTAGACTTAAAAAGAATAATTAGTTCCAAGTAAGCTGAATATTGGATAGTTCTCATTCTAGGGTAGACTGTGAGATCAGAGAAGAGTGTATTAGTCCTCCTCTTTTGGATGACCAAAAATGGTGGGTCCAGATCAAATAATTGGCAAGTATGTGAGGGTCATCGATCATAGTAGATGACAACACTTGACTATTGTAGGCGGTCTAGCGAATTACATTGCTAGTATAGACTTATAACCCATAGACATAGATATGATGGGGTACCATATCTATCGATTACTATGAACATTGGTTGCCTTTATATGACTTACATTGGCCAAGGACTCCCCTAGTTGTGTAGTCAAGTAGTTACTCACACAATTCATTAGGTTGGGTGATTCCTTCAAATAATCATTGTTTTAGGATTTGTGAGAATCGATTGGGTAGGATAGGTGGTCTTATATCAGATTATACCTATAATTTTTGTTGTAGGAATGTTATTATATGTGATCATCAATATATATGGGCTTGAAAGCCGTATGCATCTCACTAGTTTTGCCAAACCTGACCCACTCATTTTATGTGCATCATAAGTAGCGAATGTAATGTTGTCGAAGTCTAGAAAGGATGTCGGGTTAAATAAAAAGATGTGGTTGTTATAGTATTTCAGGAACTTTTAGTATTTTATGTTATAATTTATGTTTGGATATGAATGATGACATCCTCATAGTTTCTGATATAATGAAATGACATTGTTATCTCAAAATGTTTTACTTAACTGGGAATTTATGCATCTCAAATTATTAAAGCGTAAAGAAGAAGTTTTAATTGGTTCTGAAAATGAGGGATGTAACAGTTTGTATGAAAGCATTAGTTTAAGCGAATTAGGAATTTTTCTAGATTTCTAGACTTAAACTTAGAAGCTAAGCATGAACGGTGAGTTATGTGACAGTCTAACAAGACATAGAGAACGGGTGCAATATCAAGCACCGCTTTCAGTCAAGAAGATCAAGAGTTAAATACGCGTTCGAAGAAACATCAAAGTTACGGTTATTACTTAGGATGAAGAGATAACGTATGGAGTCATCATGTGAGCCATGTTTCGTTGATGATTCCGGGATGTAATCATCCTAAGGGGGAGATAATTGTAACGCCCGTAGATCCGGGCTAGTCAATTTAGAGATAATAGGGGTCGAAAATGACTTTTCGAAAAAAGATTATTTAGAATAAATAATCTTAACCAATTTGTAGAATATGTCTCAAGGGTTCCGTACATATAAAAAACGCCGAAATCCGAGTTATAACGAAGAAGTTATAGCCCGTCGAAGTTTTACGTCAAAACCGACACGACACCGGGAGACGTAAATAGTGAATTTACGATAGAGGACTTTTTAGCCTTAGTTATCTAAAAAAAAGTTGTAGTATATGTCAAACCGAGAACATACAAAAAAAGAACGCCCAAATCTGACTTCGTATGAGGAAGTTATGATTTTTCTAAGATTTGGCATAGCAGTGCACGGCCCGAACCTCGAATTTTAGTTCGAGCGGTTTTTGACTTACGCAACCTAAATGAGTGTTGAAGATCTCATTAATAGGAACTCAACGGCAAAAAGACAGACGAAAACGGAGTCCGTATGAAAGAGTTACGAATTCTTCGTGGTCATTTAACAGTCTAATCTCCTCCTACTGCTAAATTTAATATCGGTCGAGAATTAGCTGACGGAGTCTAAATGAAAGTTGTAGATCTTGTTCTTACCTACGCGTGGAAAAAAAGAACTTCGACAACGGAGCTCGTATGCAAAAGTTACGGGGTTTAGAAGTCGGCAGGGTACTGCTGCAAAAGGGGTGACGTGGCTGAATATGGGCCAAGGATTTCTCCCCAAGAAAAGCCATCAGGTGATGACACATGGCACTGACTCGGCGAGTCAGTGACCCGACTCGGCGAGTCCATCAGGAATTCAGCCTATAGATAGAGGTGCCGGGTTCCATTCATTCTCACACCTTCCCATCTTCTCCTTCTCTCTCTAGAACTTCTCTCTAGCCCCCCTTAAGCCCCCTAAATTCTAGGTAAACCCCCTAGCACCCGAAGGAAGCCCCGAGGCTCCCGGAGTCCTGAGAAAAAGGGTCTTTCGGTTCAGAAACGCTGCTCCAAGCGAAGCCTGGTTTTCTATAAAACCTGCTGTAAGTGAGCTACGCCTACACTATTTTTAATATAGCTTTTATTTAATTATAGTAACGTTAATAGGAACTTATAATAAAAACTTGGGCTATTATTATGGGTTATATAAGTATTGTTTAACGCTTATATAATAGTAATAATAGCTAGACTATTAATTAGTCGCGGTTAACGTTAGACTAAACCCTAGTGGTATTGATACTAGGTTTTGTCAAGGGAAAATTGTTTTGAGATAACGAAGTGTTGTCCGACTACCGAGTCACCACCTTACCAGGTGAGTGCATAGTTACATTCATCTTACAGATAGATATGAAGTATTTAATATAATTTACGTGCTTTGTGTGAATACTATATGTATACTTGCTATCTATGCTGGATGAACTATTTGATACATGTTTTAAATGATTTAAACTGTATATATATTTTATATCTACATAATATGTTGGGTAAAACATGGGTAGATGAAATATGAGTTAAGAGGTGAAATAGACCATAAGGTAAGGGTGAGAGGTGGACGATGTGAGAAGCCTTGTTCCCAAATGTTGGCCCCGTCATCTAGCAGAGTATGGATGACAACCACAAACTATTCTAGACAGTCCAGTGGAACACTAGCAGGCTCGCAACCTGTAGGTGTTATGAACGATGTGTTCACCGGTGTACTCTAAAAAACCCATTGACATGTATTGCGAGTGAACTTTCAAAAATGATACTGTCAATAAACGAGATAACCCTGGCAGATGCGCCTAAAGGACTCTACCGGCAGAAGCGCCTAATAGAGAACCTCATAACCCCGGCAGATGCGCCTAAAGGACTATACCGGCAGATGCGCCCCATAAATAATGTCACAATTCTGGCAGATGCGCCTAAGTGATAATATTA